TCAACACTAACTGCGGTTACTGAAACCACGCCTTCTTTCTTTGCATGCACATTTGGGCAGCATTATGCAAATATTTACACATAGTGAGATATGTGGGGGCGTGTTAGAACGAGCCGTTTTAGGGGGGGGTGGTAGAGTTGTAACTTTGATAAAGAATATCTCTTTGGTTTTGAGACTTTAGTCTTTGCAACTTCAGGGATCTTATCTATGCACAATCAGCTTGTAACACTCCAAAGAGAAAGGAAAACTTGAAATCGCATCATATGACCCCTTTAAGAGCAGGGGGGCGTGTGACACAACTGCTTTTCGAACCATACAAGTCGAATACAATGAACTGGTAGAATGGCAATAACCTTGAAACGATGGCTTCCAAAGTGGGTGGGGCTTCGCGACGCGTATGTTTTCAGATTCGATGGGTTTAAATAATAATTCTCCGAATCACAATCAATAATTGTGGCAGTTTCTCCGTGTCATTTTCGGGTGTAAATGGCTGCCTTGAATATTTGCCGAAGCGAAATGTAAGCGGAATTGTCACGTGATTCCTGTTACTTTGCTCAGCGCTGATCAGGTTCACCTTATCACGATCACTTGTGATGACTTCATATGGCTTTTTTATATATATATATATATATATATATATATATTTTTTTTTTTTTACACAGAAGATTTCTTTTACTTTATTATAATGTTAATTCTTGAACATGATAGATTTTAAAAAACACTTTTTAATCTACAAAAATCTTAAATAAGACAGATAATATACTCATTCAAATCAGCTTTTACGCCCCCTGGAGGAAGCCAACTGTATGTCCCATTGGAAACAGCATTTTAGATCCACTTTCCAATTAGTTCTCGACTCGAATTACATCGAACGAGTCTCTCCCACCAGCCAGCCACAGCGTGCCCGATGCACGAGGATTAAGCGTGTTGGTAGCGCAGGGGTATGTAACATCACATCTCGCACTGCGTTATTTAACGCGTCCACCTGCACTGCACAGAATACATTTTCACGACGGACTAGTGAACGATGGACCTGCACATCTTGGACCATAGATTAAGGGTCACATCCATCAGTAAAACGGGGCTTGAGCAGTACACACACCCCCTAATCAAACTGATATTTCTCAGAAACAGGACGAGGTAAGAACAGTCAACGCCTGTATGAGTTTGCAAACATGTTTTTACGCGTTTGATGCTGCTATAGCTATTCATTAGACACCAGTTCAAGTACATAGCTTGCTTGTTTACAATGTGTTCAACTGCAAAGTAAGAGCCTCACCCTGTTTTGGTTAGTTTGGAGAAATGATAAATGACCAAAGAATGTCAGATCATGCACATGCACTTGGGGCCTTTAACTTGTACTTAAAATGACACATTGAAAAACTGTTTTTCATAAAGTGAGCAATTTCTTGTGCTCAGTTATGACTTGAAATAATGCCGTATTGTAAAACCTAGTAGCTGCCTACCTGGCTAGACAACATTTTTGGGCATGCAGGTTTTGACATACATCCCATACATTAAGTTTTCAAACTAGCTTCAAACTTTGCATGTAAATAATATCCCATAGTTCAGTGGTTCCCAACCATGGTCCTTGAGGCACCCCAACACTGCATGTTTTGCATGTCTCCTTAATCAAACACACCTGATTCAGGTCATTGGCTCATTAGTAGAGACTCCCAAGACCTGAGATTGGTGTGTCAGAGAAAGGAGACATGCAAAATGTGCAGTGTTGGGGTGCCTCAAGGACCAGGGTTGGGAACCACTGCCATAGTTGACATTCACTGCCTGTACGTTAACATGGGACAAAATAAAAACACTAAAAGTTGGACTTTTATTTCATTGCATACATAACAACTAAATATCAGCAAGTTACTTTTTTGGTAAATTATATGTATTGAAGTAATTTTCTGTATGTTTCATTTGCTGACATTAAATTCTATGTTAATATTGGCATTAATATCATAATTTATTGGCCACCTTTCGCTATAATTGGTCATTGAAAACCCCATGTTGGTTGTTGACTTGTTAGTAGCCGATCATGTTTTAATACCATCACCCTAGTTGAGATCCCCCATTGTTTTTGTGCCAGATAAATGCTTTCCTGATTACAGCATATATCAATCACCTATTTGAAATGATATTACTGAGTAAATGATTAATACTAATTTCCGAAGTAGTGTGTGTAGAATACACATTGCACAATTATAACATCATTTATTTACTGCAACGTCAAATCATTACTTTTGTCCATGTTAATGTGTTCAGTTTTACTCTGTATTTTGCACTTGAATAAAGGGGTTATTATTAATAAAAAAGCAAAAGATCGATTAAAATCAAAAGTTAGTGGGACATGTCCATAGTTAAGGGCATATTACTTCATCCATCCATCCACTAAGCAAGACTTTAGGACCAGTTGGAAAGATTCATTGCAAAAATCTAGCTACGTCATTCTAAGAAACGATCTAGTATCCTTGGTTAGCAGATGTCTGTTGGTTTGACATTCAGACATTTTAAAGTGTGGTTTGTCCCTTCTACTACATAGCCCACATGGCCAAAGAGACATCTACGGAAAAGAAAAATAGTTTGCATTTTATTTTTTGTCTTTGGAATGTCATTTACAGTTGAATTGTTCACAGTAAGACCGATAAATAAGGTCAAATCCGATCCCATGTTCACTCTTATAATTAGGGCTGCATGATAAATCGCATGCGATATTTAATGCGCGTCTTGTCATAAAGCCGGTTCTGTAATCAGCGGTAAATCTCCATCACCTGCGGGCTTTCACATTGAGCAGCATTAACTACACAGAGCCGTTGTTCACTGACGAGCTGCGCAAAAAATCGCGCGAATATCAACGTGGTTTAGCGCAGCTCGTCAGTGAACAACGGCTCTGTGTAGTTAATGCTGCTCAATGTGAAAGCCCGCAGGTGATGGAGATTTACCGCTGATTACAGAACCGGCTTTATGACAAGACGCGCATTAAATATCGCATGCGATTTATCATGCAGCCCTAATTATAAGAGTGAACATGGGATCGGATTTGACCTTATTTAAAGATGCGCGTTAAATGTCGCATGCGATTTATCGTGCAGCCCTACTCTTATTGCATTTGGGTACCTGTTGTTTTTTCTGTGCTGCTTCTGAGCCTTAGTGTCGCTCTCTTATTTCTTCCATCTAATGGTGGGACATAAACTCAGATACGTGCAATAAAATCTGGGTTCTAAGGTGTCACTGATGAAAGTATTTTGTGGGGCATCGTGTGACTTCAGTACATTTTATGATCTGCTTAATGCCGTTGAATAGGGTGCTTTTTCTCATGTCTGCGAGGACGAGGGGATGGCAACAGGCCTTTCAGGATTGGATTCCCACAGAGCTTAGAAAAAGATTGGAGTTTGTGTATTCGATATGCCTTTTCTGGTTCGTTCAGGCATATCTTGTTGAACTTTCCAGAACCTTGAATGCTACAGATTGATAATGTTCCAGAGTTGAACATATCACTTCCAAATTTTTATTTTTATCTTAAAATACACCAATTAAAGTGATGGTTCACCCAAAGCTAACATTCTGTCATCATTTACTCACCCTAAAATAGGGTTGCACGATAAATTGAAATGGAATCGAGATCGCGATTCGAGAGAAGCTGCGATTGCCATGCGTATCTTTCAGTGAAGCACGGTTCTGTGATCAGCAGTAAATCTTCATCCAAATGCCAGAGGGCGCTCTCACGCTGAAACTCCAAATATCGCTGCAGCTGAATAAACAGAAGATTCAACTTCTTTCATTGATTCAACGTGACTAATAAACACACGACTACGGCAATATACGGTTTATCTGAGTTCTTCTTATTATAATTGTAATTAAAATAAAGTATATTTATAATAAAATGCACATGACAATCGCATTCGATTAATCGTGCAGCCCTACCCTAAAAGCACTTACAACTCATGCACCATATTCAAAGCCGTCTGCAACCATACGATAGCTTTTAGTGAAGAGCAGACTGAAATGTATGTTGTTTTTCACTGAAAATTTTCTTTTCCACTGTAGCTCTCAAATACTCTTCATGCATGAGCATATTCAAACTTGCCTTGTCAGTTTTGATATCATTGACACCAAGCAGCATTGGTTCTTGATGTGTCTTGCTTTACTTATTAGGACATGTTAAGAGTTTAAGTGGTGACAGATTTCATTTTTGGATGAATTATTATTTTTGGAATTATGCTTTTAAAGGTCAGAAGGAGTGCTCACACAAACACAACATGATCTCATCTGGTAATGTTATCTTCTCCACATGTGCAGCTTTGAGCACAGCGAGAGGAATATTTTTCTGAACAGGCCTTCTGTGACTGGTGCGTTAACTGCATCTGCTTGTTTTGACTGGCTCGAAAAATAAAAATTCTGTCACCATTTGCTCTTATGTTGTCATAAACCTGTTGTTGAACTCGAAAGGAGATATTTTGAATAATGGTCTTTCAAGATTTTAAAAGTCATAAAACTTGAGGTGAACTCGGATCAGAACGATTTGTGAGTTTTTCAGATTTTTTTCGAGTTATTCAGAGTCATTGAAAAGATCGAACTCAGAAGAATGGCTCGTTCACAAATCGGAAATTAGGTGTCATTCACTGCGAGTGAACTGTGCGTATACACAAATTTGTAAGTGAAATCTGCGTTCAAACATTTTTACCAACAAATCATCATGATTCTGTAATAACTTTGGTACTGACATTTATTGAAAATTTACGAAATAATGCAGGAACAACTGAAACCACACAAACAAAAATCAACCATATCAACTATTTAAGAAGATAAAATATTATAAATAGTTATAATCTTTAACCTGCTTGATTAATCGATATAAAAACCAAATTGTGAAATGGATCACTGCGTTTTTCTGTCAAAATAAAAGTTTGATGGTTTAACTTTTGTCAATTAAGAAAATAGGATAGCCATAATTATTATAGTCATTTTGCAGCTGCAAAATGAAAAAAGAAAATTATTATAATACTGTATTTCTTTTACTCAATTTTATTTTACGGGGAAATATTACAATAATTTTTTTTTTGTTTTAATTTAGCCATTTTGAAGTAATAGTAATAATATTAAAAGCATTTTTTTTTTAACGTACATGCAAATTTTCCTGTGCGTATAATGAAAGTGCATAGGATAGTTTGTAGTTGATGTAATGATTTATCAGTAAATAAAGACTTAAATAAAAGACTTAATTTTTTGTTCTGAAATACAGCACACTGCTACAGGGAACATAGTTCTTTCCCTTTTCTCACCGTTCTGGATGGTGTTGGTTTAACACCACTCCTATATTTCTCTGTTTTCCAGATGGCTTTGGAGTGCTTACAGGAAGTTGAACCCTGGGAGCTCTAGATATTGTTAGGAAGTGTGAGACTAGCTGACACAATGCTGCTTTGCTGAGTTAGCCCTGAGGGTGGGGATGTATTATTTCCCTTCTGTTAGGCCCTTGCATTGATGTGCCCAGTGGTTGGGGTCCGGATTGTATTACGCTGAGTTGCAGACAGAACAGTAATCAGCTGTGCGAATGAAGAGTCCTGTGGGTGGCTGCCAGTACAGTATCGCAGCTCTTTCTTTAGATAACGGCTGGTGCACTGCTGAGTCTGCCTCAACTGCCATAGTTAATGTGAAAGTTAGAAAGTGCTTGTTGTTAGCGGACTACTTCATCTGTCACATTGATTAATCGAGATTAATCACATCCAAAATAAAAGTTTGTTTACATGATATGTGTGTACTGTGTATATTTATATGTATATATAAAATACACACACATACATGTGTATATACATTTAAGAAATAATTACGTGTGTGTGTGTGTGTGTGTGTGTATATGTATATTCATATTTATGTGATTTTATTATATATAAATATAAATATGTTACATATATTTCTTAAATATATGCATGTTATGTGTGTGTATTTATATACATATATACACACAATACACACACACATAATTATGTAAACACAAACTTTTATTTTGGATGCGATTAATCCTGATTAATCGATTTGACAACCTAATAAGAAATCGAACTCAAAAACTGCTTTACACTTAAGTTCCAAAAACATGAATGTACAACATATAACATATCATGTATAAAACTAACCCAAGTCACATGATACAATACTAATAACACAAAACGTACATATATCTAAATACAGAATCACTTATATAAAGAAAAATATTAAGCAATTCTTAATGTCATTTATGGCTCTAACACATTATTAAACCATAAAGTTTTAAAGCACTTTCAATTATCATTCATTGTCACTGCATGGGGAAAAAACATTCAGGTTAAAATTTCTCCTTTAGTTTTCCTAGAGTAAAAAAGTCATAACGGTTTGGGAAAACATGATAGCAGTAATATGATCAAATTTGGCAATAATAATAATTATCATTAGCCTAACTATTGGATGTTTTTGTTTACCAAGTAAAAGCATTCACTTGTTGCATTACTACTTTTTTGAGTGTTAATGTATTTGCAAAATTTGGGGTCAGTAAGATCTTTCTATCTGTCTGCCTGTTTGTCTTTGTTTGGAAAGAAATTAATACTTTTATAAATCAAGGATGCATTAAATTGATCAAAAGTGACAGTTAAAAACATTTATAATGCTACTAAATATTTCTATTTCAAATAAATGCTGTTCTTTTGAACATTTTTGTTCATCAATGAATACATTTTAGGAAAAATATTACGCAGCACAACTGATTTCAACATTGATAATAATCACAAATGTTTCTTGAACAGCAAATCAGCATATTATTATGTTATAATTATTATCATATGTTCCTGTGGCTCAGTGGTAGAGCACTGTGTTAGCAGCGCAGAAGGTTGTGGGTTCGATTCCCAGGGAACACACATACTCGTAAATTATACAAATTATAAATTATATATTTGTATTTTTTATCAAATAAATGCAGCCTTGGTTAGCAGAAGAGACTTTTACTAACCCCAAACTTTTGAAAAGTAGTGTATTTTTATATTTTTAACCTAATAAATTAATGTAATTAGACTACATGATCAATTTACATAACTAATCAATATTAGTGTGTTTCATCTTTGTTTTAGTTGTTTTGATGCTGATAGATGAAATTCCGTGAACCAGTCTGGACTTCATTTGTACAAATCAACTCTCAACAGTTCCTTTTCCCATGATTCTCAACTCTGTGGCTCTTAGACAGTAGATCAGACTGAATGAAGTGGAGTATGTTGTTCTGGGTTCCTGGACCGGCTCGTAAAGAATTTGGCTCAAACCCTGTTGTGGAGAAACCAATTCACACAAACGTTTCTCTTTTTAACACGCACATCAAGCACCTCATATTTATCAATCACAACAAACCGAAATGCAGAACCATATGAATGGATTTCAGAAAGAGAAAGAGAAAATGACATTCACTTTTTCTGCAGAGGGGTTTGATGTGGTTTGTGTCTCCATCCCACACCTCTCGGCTGAAACACTCTTTACAGCAATCTGCCATTGTTTTTTTCCATTATGCAACGTCTGATCTGTCTGTTTGGTTTTGCTTCTTTCTCTCTCTCCCTCTGTTTATTTTCCCTCTCTCCTGTGCTTTTTCTCTTTCTTTCACAGATGCAAATTTTTCAGTCTCACAGAGACTCCGGAAAATTACACAGTTGTCCTTGATGAGGAGGGATTTAAAGGTAAAACACACACTCACACACACATGAACTGCTGTCATAAGGCTCTTGTGTTCGGTTGACGATGACACACATTGTCATGGACTATACTGAGAACTCTATCATTTTATTTATAGTTATGTTATCATTTTATGTTGTCAACATATATAATTGATCCTGGGGACTTTTAATCTGACGTTTCACATTGTACATTTCCAAAACCTGGGTTAACATTCTTATTTGCATAATTACATGATTGGCTAAATATGATGCCAAAAATGTAAATTACTCCTTATTTGATTGGTTCATTACTTGAAACCGCACTGAAATGTGAAGAATATGGAAATGTGTGACATGTTTGAACAAGACTTGGTACATTTTTTTTTTTTTTTTTTTTAATTGTGCTGTGTGTATTTCAAGCAATAAAACGTTTTTATAGTTTATATATGTTAATAAAACAGTTTTTGTCTTTTAAGGAGGCCTAAAACCATTAACACCTAATTGATCATTTCATTAAAGGGGTCATATGATGTTGCTAAAAATAACATTATTTTGTGTATTTGGTGTAATGAAATGTGTTTATGCGGTTCAAAAAACATTATTTTCCACATACTGTACATTACTGTTTCTCCTCTATGCCCCGCCTTTCTGAAACGCGTCGATTTTTACAAAGCTCATCGGTCTGAAAAGCGAGGTGTGCTCTGATTGGCCAGCTATCCAGTGCGTTGTGATTGGCCGAATACCTCAAGCACGTGACAGAAATGTTACGCCCCTACCATACTGTCATGATGCCCTGTCCGGCCGGAGCGACGAGACAAAAACATTAAAACCCATTACAAACGAGGCATTTGTTGCATCCAGTGGGGACAGATTATAGTGCTTGCGGCAACCACATGTGACGACCCCTGGCTGGACTCCGCTTGACGAAGCGGATATCGTCCTCTTTTGGAAGAAAGTAGTTTCGCTTTCACAATGAAACACAGCGTCTTCACGACGCGGCAGCGGCAACAACAATACTACAGCGAGAATAAAAGTTACGCCTTCTTTCTTTGCGTGAACATTTGGGCGGCGTTATGCAAATCTTCCCACATCGTGACGTAGACATGTGGGGGGTGGGGGGGCATGTTAGAACGAGCCGTTTTAGGTAGGCGTGGTTGTCTCTTCACTTTTATAAAGAATATCTCTTTGGATTTGAGACTTTAGTCTTTGCAACTTTACAGATCTTCTTTATGATAAAACATTTAATAAAAATTATAATTATATCTCTTTCAGCTCTGTATAAAAATATATTTACATGTAATATAATATTATACTAAAGTTTGGAGTCGGTAAGGGTGTTTTAATTGTAATTTTAATTTGAAGTCTCTTGTGCTCACCCAGACTGCATTTATTTGATTAAAAATACCCAATTTTTGAAACAAAAGAAATGGTAATATTGTGAAATGCTATTACAATTGTTAAATATTTATTATTTTAAATTGAATTATAATAATTATATAATATTATGAAATTATTTTCAATTTGAAGCAGAATTTTCAGCAACTATATTTTTACATGATGTGAAGAAAATGTCTCTGCCGTTCGCTTGTGCAAAACTGTTGAAAAGTTTGGGGTCAGTACGATTTTTAAAAGTTTTTGAAAAAGTCTCTTGTGCTCACCAAGACTGCATTTATTGATCAAAAATATGTTGAAATATTATTAAAATTTCAAATAACTGTTTTCTATTTGAATATATTTTGAAATATATAATTTATTCTTGTGATGCAAAACAGAATTTTCAGCATCATTACTCCAGTCTTCAGTGTCACATGATCCTTCAGAATTAGTGTCTCTTATAAACTGCAAGTAAAATATTTATTTATTATTTATATATTTATAAAAAAAAAGTGTCTGTTTGTTTGTGCAGTTATTTCCCTTGGCATATTCAGTTATAACAAGTTGTTGGTTAAGTCTGTTTATTTTGTTTATTTTTAATGCTTTTTTCTCCTGCAGTCCTAAAGAGGGCGCCAGTGTTGATCAGGACATGGAATGTATTAAGTTTTTCTCCTTCTCTCTGATTGATGGATACGTCTCTTTGGTGATGGACACAGAAGCACAGAGACAGTAAGACCCTCACAGAGTCATGAACAGGTCATGATATCAAAGATTTGCACGTTGCAGATTTAAATATGAAAATATGTTTGTGTTTGTGTTTGTGTGTGTGTGTGTGTGTGTGTGTGTGTGTGTGTGTGTGTGTGTGTGTGTGTGAGATTCCCCACTGATCTTCTCTTCACCAGCTCTTCTGGTGAGCTCTGGAGGATGGTGAGAATAGGAGGGCAGCCTCTCGGCTTCGGTGAGCTTCAGAATACCTTCTTTAGGCCATTTGAATGCAGCATGTATCCTTTAGCCATGCCATAATGCCTTGCAGCAAGCAAGCATCAGCCAGTCACCCAGGATAAGTCGAATGAATAAA